TTTACATAGCGTTTACATAGATACCTGGTAAAGGATCTGAGGATGCGTTGTCGATACGACAGATTGATGGAGTTCACGACTTAACGGATTGCTGAAGGAATGATGCATCGATGGTTGAATCGTTGGCGGCAGGAAAGTCACTTAAGATAAGGTATCCGAGAGCATGGGCAACACCAGTGAGGTCAAATGTTCGTTGATCATGGACTCCTCAGACAGTCGATTACCTTGTCGTCATCAGTCATTGCCTTTTATTGAGGGATTTTCTCTTTTTTCTCCATTGCTGGTTTTTTTTTATTTTGGCAGTGTTGTAATGCCTATGACCATTAGAAAATTCTCTTCGCCAAGTTCCTGGTGACACATTCGATGTCTCATCTTGAAAACGAAGTTACTCCACAGTAGAATGAAATTCATATCCGTTACAATTTAANACTTCCTCTTTTCTTCATTGCTTTTTTTTGGCAATCTTGTAACGCCTGTGACCAGTAGCAAATTCTCTTCGCCAAGTTTCTAAAAAGGAAGTTACTCCGCAGACAAATGAAAATCATATCTGTTACAATTGTAACAATCGTGAAAATTATAGCAAGTTTTAATTTCAAAACTTGAATTTTCACCTGCAAACTTTTTATCAAATCCGGGTTCTCACACTTGCAATTGACCATGAAAATAAACTATTAAATATAATATTTTATATATTATAATTATTATTTCATTCTTATTATTTTTTAATAAAGTAGTAAATAGTTTCCCAATTACAAAAACGAAAGGAGTAGGATAATAATGTTTGAAATCATAAAAACAGCTGTTATATATATTAAAATAATCAAAAGTTTAATATACCATAAAGCAACACAGCTTTCCATGTCACGTGATCTAGTCATTATAGAGAGCGAATCATAGATATAGGCCAGTAAAGTTCAATTCAGTTATTAATTGTAATATACCAAAAGGTGCATTCCGGGTACCGTAGATACACATCTGGGTAAGATCGCCACAATGAATTAGCATTCAGTGTGACATACAGATTACAGTCAGATATGGTTACAAATACAAAATAAAATAATACATCATGTAAAGGTACGTACGAAATTAAGAGTTACTCACGTAACTCTTAATTTCGTACGTACCTTTACATGACGTAACTTTTAGATTTTAATTATAATACAAGGTAAAAAAAAGGAAACAAATTGCTGGAATTCATTTAACAATATAAAGCACAGCACAGCAAGGTGTTGTGTGCGCGAGACAACAACAGTTACGAATACTTAAGTTTTACAATATTCAATGAACATATTACTGATACTTAAACTTTTGAATACAGGCTATGTTATACAGTACAGAGTTGCTGTGAAAAAATACAAAATGCATAATACAGGATACAAAATATGACAAACAGCAATATACAAAGTGAATGGAACAGATGCCAGAACAGCTGGAATGGGTACATCAGTTCGTATGTGTGTTATAAAATATACAATTAATTGATTGCCGGATTACTAATGCTAAAATAATAAAATATGTGATACAATGTCAAGAAATGCAAGTGCATAAAATCCAAGGTACCAACACTACAATACATCAAGGTGCCATATGCTAGAGAGAATAAATCAATTACAGATACATTAATATTTAAAACAATGCACGTTATACAAGTACAGACTTGCTGTGAAGAGATACAACAATTACCGAGTACATAATACATGATACAGCTTATCGATTAACAAATTGCATTATCGATTAACAAATTGCAATCAGCAGATGCTGACACAGCAGAAGGTCAATTGAATGCTGGCACGGATGTCCTTTTAAAATACATACCAGCAAGCTGGATGAGTGCGCGGTAGGTATCTTTATGTTGGAGAAGGCATCCCAGATTTGGAGGAGGCGATTTGATGGTATGGGCTTCAGAGGATTCTCAGTTGTAATCTCTCGGGTTCCAACATCGGGCGCTAGTACATTCATTCATTCATTCATTATTTTATTAAAGTGCTATTATACACATTTCCCGGCCCCGCAGGAAGCATTACCAGGAATTTTTTGTACAATTCAGATAACATAGATAATAATTACAGAAAAATCATATACAGCATTTAAATGAAAAAGAAAATGTTTGAGTAAATAAACAATAAAGAATATAAAGTAAAATATATACAATGTGTTTATGTCATGTAACAAATGACATAAACAATAATAACAATAATAGAAGAAGATATTCAGCAGAATATCTTATTATTACCATCAATAATATAGGGGGGCGCTAGTACAGTCGACCCCCCTATAACACTGTTGATAATTCCGTTTTATATGAATTCCATGTTGTACGAGTCACTTAGATTTTAGAAATACGTGTGCCGGGCTGTGAACGGTTCACGTATTTGTAAAATCTAAGTGACTCGTACAACATGGAATTCATATAAAACGGAATTATAAACAGTGTTATAGGGGGTCAACTGTATTTTCTGTTTCGAAAAGTTAAAAAAAAAAAATTAATGAATTTGCTCTGCGTGCAAAAGATTTTGATTCTTCTGCACTTGCCGAAATAAAATAAAGGTTCGAAACTGGTGTTGAGGAAGAACTGTCTTCTGGTTATTCACACAAAATCGTTATTCGTGCAATCATCGAAATACAAACTAAGAATCTTAAAAACAAAAGCAGTGGGAATTGTTTTTTTTTCTTTCTACAAACAGATAAGTTAAACGGATTTGCCATGCGAAATCTTGAAAAAAGATCTCAAGCAATCAAGTGTTAAATATGAGTGGTAAAACGAAATAGTTTAGAATTTCCAGTTTATATGAAATGCATGCTGCTAAGATTAGTGGATATTGTATAATCTTTTATTCACCACAAAAATCTTCCTTCATTTAAAAAAAAAAAAAATTTATATTTGAAAATTTAGTAATGATTTTCATTATCCAATTTAATTTACTACTTTGAGAAATGATTATGATTCAAGGAACAATGATGTGTAGGGAAGATCGGGCCAAGATCGGCATGTTAAGCTTTACTTAAATTTTGTGTAATAAATACTGCTGTAAACTGAAAAGAAAGCTTTGCATATTGTCTATTGGAATGTTACCTTACTATAGAACTGGATAAAATCAGTTTGGAAATAAAAATAATTAAAATAATTACAACTTTACAAGAAGAGAGAAATTGACGAAGTTGCCCCGGGTATAGGGGCAAGATCGGCAACTTCTCTCTTTTTGTAAAGTTGTAATTATTTTAATTCTTTTTATTAAAGTTGCCCCTGGTATAGGGACAACAGTAATGGGGCAAGATAGGCACGTATATAAAATTATGTTATTAACAATGTATAAGTTGGAATTCACTATTAAAACAAAGAAATACAAATCCAACACCCATTTAATATTATTACAACGAAATGCGAGTTCAAAGACATATATACATGAATAACAAATGCAAACATGTTTTCATTTATCATCTGTTTGATTTTTATCCTTTGCGTCTAATGTGGCTTTATGTTGCCGATCTTACCCCGCTAGTCATGATTTCGAAACATTAAGTACAACCCTGAGAACAGAATGCCAAGCCACGATCTGGCCACGTGAATAAGTTGAAGTTACATCCTTCTAACAGGAAAAGTAACTTTCGTTATCATGGAATTATAACAAAACCTGCCAATTCAATATAAATGGAAAAAAAATATTATATGGAATTGAACGAAAATGAAAATTTGCTTGATAATTCAACTACGCTTGTTGGAGAACAATAAAAACACTACACTCAACAAGCCACCAATAAAACTCAACTGCCTAACCTATAACCAAAGTCTCCTTTTAATTTGTTTTTTAAAAAAAGCGCTTGACAAACTTGCCCCGCATGCCGAAGTTGCCCCGATCTCCCCTAAATATAGATTACAATAAAAAGTAAAGTATACCTTGCAATAAAAAGAAAAAAATATTTACTACACATAGTTTTTTAACGTCATTTTTGTACCACTTTTTCCAACCATTTTGATTTGATAGTTCACTGCACACCCATTTTTAAATACTATTAGAACCATAATCCACTATTTTTATACCTAAACTAGCTGTTACCTGCGACTTTGCCTGCGAGGTTTTTGCAAGAAAACCCTATTTATATTCAGTATTTCAACAACCATAGTAATTGTTATATAACACTTACCGCTAAGAATGATGAGAATTGCCGAGAATCAAAGGAACTATTTTTAATTTGATCAATTTACTGGAACGTTTACAAGCGTTCTATAATCAAATCAACATGCAATAACAAATTCTAATTTCAAACGGTTCAAACATATTTAAAAACGAAATACATAAAAATATTTATAACAATGTCTAAAATGTTATGAATTTAACTCATCTAATTACTGAATGAAAATTAAACGTAGTGGAAAACGAAAAATCGCATCTAAAATAGTACAGTAGAAGCTGTCTGTCCGGTTAAGACTTAAACTTTTCCGTCTCTCCCCCGTGGGAGAATTTCAAAATATCCCTTCATAGTCCGCGTTCACATGACCTAATCTAACTGTGTACCAAATTTTATCTCTAGGTTCAGCGGTTTTTTCTGGGCGATGATGAATCAGTCATTTAGTCAATCAGTCAGAACAAGTAATTTTATATATTTAAATAATTTTAGAATGAATTTTAAATATGCAATCCTTTATATCGATATAGAACACATTCTTAGCGACATAAAGAAACTTCGTAAAATGCTTGAAAGCACAATTTAAACCATTTCAGAAATAAGATTATTTCGTGAAAAATTTCTCTGGAAAACATAGGCATTCTTTATGTGTAAATACGTGATAAAAACGCGGTAAATTCACGTCATCTGCCAGTTGTCTAGGCGCGAACTCCAAATTTCTAAATTTTATTACGAAAGTGTGATTTCGTGATTGGATTACATATGTAATAGATATAATAATTAATTGGAGATAGGTTAGAAAGTGTTTTGTTTAATTCGTTGTAATTTAAATGAACAAAACAGAAATGAATATATATTTTCTCACCTTTAGATGGCCGAAGTACGGAAAAATTATCACAGTGATGTTAATTGTGGCAGGAGTTGTATCACACGTTGTTAATACAAATGTATACAAAGATCACACAATGTTCGGTTATTCTTTGGATTATAGGTATGTACTTTAATTTTATATAAATTTATTTACAGGACACCACATTATAAAGTCAAAAAGCGGATATACGTTTACTAGACAAAAACAGAAAATATTACAATTTCATTATTACATTGAGAAAAACAATAAAAACATTATTCATCAAGACACTATTACTAATACTGACAAAAATCGATACATTTCTTTATAATACGTTTTTAGTATGTACGAAATTGTTAAGATATGAATTGTTATATCCACCAGATTAAAGAATGATGTATAGATTTCAGACGAACGGAAAGATGTTTATCAGAGTAGCGTACTCCTATTAAACGTTCCACATGGAATTATCTAGCAGTCCTGATGCAACCGAATCTGCTATTGTGAAGAAAGAAAATAAATTTACATAAAACTATGATAAAATTTTTCACTATGGAAAGGCAATAGCGCTATAAACAAAAATAGAAGAGCTGAATCTTTCGTCATGGTACATTTGTTGTAGGCCATTAGGAGTGCTGTTTGTAGAAAAGTGCTATTATCTCATTGTATTTAAAAAGCATCGCAAACAACGAATTCCAGTCGAGATAAAAACAGACTTCTCCAGTTTTTAAATTATGAGATTGTTATTTACGCTGAAAAATATCTCCTGAATCGTTAAGATTTCAATATAGTGTAAATGTTTTATACAAATGAAATTTTCCTCGCTGCTTCAAATTCGTCAGTGACAAAATGTAGTTCAAAATTTTATACGAAAATATTTTCTGCATAGACTGAAATCTCCTGATACTAGCAAGATTTGGACAGCTCTGTAAATATCGTTGAATAGGAGTACATAGTTTCCCATCATAAAATATTTTGGAGTTGTTATTGCTTGTGTTTTTAATATTACTAATGCATTGTGAAGCGTTCAAACATCTGACAGCATAATGTAACCGAATAATCTGCAAAATAGAGAAATGTCTTTCTTCATTATAAGATAAAAGTTCGCCTGCATAATGAGGAAAAATGACTTTCTAATAACTATTTTCTACCTGTGAACATCATGAAATACATTTAAACAATTAATCTTTGTTCTTCATGTTTGTTAATTGGCTCTGAAATAGATCAATTGTTCATAAGATGCAAAATATAAATTGGTTGTATTTTAATATAAATTTTGAATTTATCATTTTTTTCTTATAGTTTTTTGTTTCTTTTAAATAAAAAATTGGCAAATTTCTTTTAATTCTGTTTGTATGTAATGCTTTTATTAATACTAATTATATTTAAAATTATTTAAAATTTTAATATATAAAATGTTATTAATACTTTTATATTGTTTTCTTTACATTATTTTCAGAAAATTTTTAAATTACGTGAATCAGAATTACTTTAAACCTTATTATGCACATCTCAGCTCATTTTTTACTGGATTCTTGTTTGGAAGCTTTCTGTCGAAAAAAGGAGAAATTAAATTTGCTCGTGTAAGTATTTTTAAAGAAATGCATACAATTTTACAAATTTCATTTAATCAAACAGCCAAGTGTTTGTAATTAGTTAACTTTGGTTAGGTTAGGTTAGGTTAGAATATTATTTGTACACTACATCAAAGTCGTAACAATGAAGGCTTAACGACCATATACACTGACTATTTGCGTCTTTTAAGAGCATTAGCCCAACGAAACTGTGGTGTTCAGTTATAGCTGTAAACTTTTTGCTATATATGTAAAGACGTAGTTCTCCAATAGCCAATTTAATAGCCTCTCCAGATAAACTTTTGATTGATTCTCAGTAAACAGAATAATGGTGTAGTGATAGTTAAGAAATCCTTTATCATTAGTCTAAAACACGGGTGGCCAATGTTTTAACAACTACGGGCGACCTGCTTTTGAAATTTTTGGCAGCGGGCTACTAACACTAAAAGTAGTGATTTAAAGCCAAAAAGTATAAATTAAAAATAAACAAATAATACAAATAACAATTCAATGTCAATTTATTTTAAAAACAGTAAATAAAACAAGATGTTCTTTTTCATTATAATTGCCTTACAGTCCTTATTTCTAATTGATTTTTAATTCTCTACTTGGATATTATTGATTAATAAAACTTTACACTGCTTTTTAAAAATTGACACAATAATGAGAGTTAGTTCAGAAGAAACAAATTTTCTTTATTAAATCACCTGCAGTAGTAACTTTTTCTGTACACTTAAATGTGTTTCGGGCTAACACGCACCTGATCAGCAGTATTACTACAATAAATGAAATATATTGTATATTAATTAAAAATATATATATTTTATTGTTGAGAATTTATTTTATAAGAACTTGCAGTAAACACGTGTCCTAATATCATGTACAATTGGATTACATTTCCAAAAATTACAAATTTACATAATTGCATTTTTTGTATAAATAAAATAAATCGTTAATTTTTAAAAACTTAAAATTATTACAAGTATTAATTGATATTGTAACTTAGATCAAGGTTCTATTTGACGTTAGCTAAGGACATTAAGATAAGGTGATTCTATCAATCATTTATAGGCTTTGCTTTTTGTGAACGTCATGAAGTATGGTGTCCCAGGATTGGTGGATTATTTTTCCTAAATTATTATTTATTCTCTTTCTTTCTTTGTGTTTATATGTTCACATAATTGTCTTTTGTAATTATTAGACTCTTACTTTTTAATTTTTATTGTATTTATATTTATTTGGCAACCATAATTATTACAATGTTTTGCTACAGCAGAGTTTGCTAATTCCCTTTAATTTAATGGAAGAAAAAAATAGTTTATTTATTTAATTGTAATTGTGATCCACTCAAAACTTATGTATGTGAAACAAAAAGGACATTGGGAACAAGAATAAAAGAAAACATACGCGCAATAAAAGGGCATTGGGCAAATTCTTACTTCTAATGCATATTGAAAGGGATTGCCACAATTAATTTCGAACGTAAATCAAATTCCGAGTTAAGCAAAAGTTACCTGTACTTAACACTCTTAACACTCTAACTTCCCTTTCTCTCTACTCTCTGTATATTTACGTAGCCTTATAAAAAATCTTATATTTCTCTATTTTTATCCTAATAGTAATATTTGGTGGTTTGAAACAGTTTTAAATGACATTACAGAAAACCCTTCTGGTATTTTGGATCGGAACTATTATATTGATAATGCTGGCAATATTTGGATTGCACGGTTATAAAAGAGAAACATCACCAAACGACACTATAGTATATTTACATCACACGTTATCGCCATTTGCTTTTACTGTGGCTACGACATGGATTTCTGTTGCCTGCATTACGGGATACGGTGGTAAGTAAATGAATTTTGAAGCAATTTCACATAAAATTTAGTTATTGTTTAAGTATTCTATTTTTAAATTGATTGCTTATTTTATATTAATAGCATGATTTTATTACAGGTATCTATAATCGAATTTTTTCATTGCGAATATTTTGTATGTTGGATAAATTAATTATTTGGATCTACATGCTTCATATACTAGTTTTAATGTATATTCATAATCATTTACGGAAAGGTCTTTACGCATCAGCAATAACTCTGGTAAGATTAGTTTAATAAGAAAAAATAAATAATAAAGATTCAGCGAAGAGTCTATTAACTTTTTCGGAAACATTTAAAACTACAAATGTGGTGTCATCTTATTGTGTTTTAATANAACCAAAATTTCGAAATATTTGTACCTCTTCAAATTACTAGTGAACAGCACCTCTTGTCATATTTACACTTTATTCAATTTCAAGTTTTAGTCCTATGTTCTACGTTCTTTGTTCTACGTTTGCAAAAATCTTTAGAATTTATTTATCTAAATTAAAACGCCGTTATAACAGGCTGTAAAGCAAAAATTTTGTCCATACTGCAAGAATATGGATAAAATATGTTCTTGTGTTTTTCTGCAATTATTTCGAGATTTTTGCATTTTTTCACTCGTTTTATTCTATGAAAATTTTGTCATACCCATCATGACTTGGCTATGCGTACAAAAGTGGCGTTCTGATGGGCCTGAAAAACCACTACATAAACTGAATGGAAAATTAGTTTGACATGTCAACCTCCTTGCCATAGGACTGTCGACAAAATACATCTTATGACTCAGTACATCGCGTGATATTTTTTCTTTTGAAATTTCATTTTTGAATTATGATACATGAGCTATAAATTTGCTAACTTTATACTAAAAATATTCAAATTAATTATATTTTTTATAATTGTATAACAACTTTATCGCTAATTAGCAGTTTCTTCTTTTATATAATTCACTTACCAAATCTCTAGCAGAAATCTCTGTCGTGATATTTGCTAAGATTGTAGTCGTTTCACTTAAGTTGTAAAAACGGAGGACTAATATCACTTTGGAGGATATAAGATGAAAGAGCATGTCAAATATAAGATTGGAGGATACAAGATGAAAGAGCTGGCAGTCGGAGATCCACAGAAAATTTACATGGCCAATTCTCGTGATGGCATTAAAGAAAATGTACTTATCTCCTACAAGATAGAAAGTATCCCAAATACTACATGTATAATGATTCTACTCCAGTAGCTGGTGGTAATTTCATGCATGTGCATATTACGTATTACGTTATGTATACATGAATATGTTCGGTACATAATTTACCGTATTAAGAATGCGTGAAAGTACAACTAGTAAATGTTAGCCATTCGCTAGTTGTATTTAGTTAACATTTTTAAAAAATAAATAATAAAGATTCAGCGAAGAGTCTATTAACTTTTTCGGAAACATTTAAAACTACAAATGTGGTGTCATCTTATTGTGTTTTAATACTAAGACTCGATATCTTTAATTATTATAAAATGGCAAAAACATAATTTTCAACATAAAGATGGGTTTTATAAAAAATTGTAAATGCTAATAACGATGAAATTGTCATAATGCCGGATTCTACTCGAGATAAGACATACAATCTCTCTTTATTTTTCTACTTTCGGTATTTTTAACCACAGATGTTGAATAGCATGACTACCGTAATAATAATTATCCCTGTAAAAATTTTTAAAAATTTCGACTTAAAGCACACGAACTTTAATAAGGGTAATCAAAATGGTTCCCTTCCCACATACATACATACAAAAAATCTTTTGAATGATTTATATTTTTCGATGTATCGAGGTCACTGTGTCCGGAAATGTTAAAATCTTGGAGGCTCTTTGTTTGACCGATTGCCATAGTTTTTCCTCTGCTATAGTTAACAGAGCCGATAATGTATAAACACATTATTATAGTGAAATTTTGTTAATAATTAATACGAAAAATGACTTCTTGTTTAGGCGCTTTTGGATAGATGGGAAAGTTGGCTTACATTACCGATGAAATAAAAACGGCTTGATCGACTTAGTATGGTAAAGATGAAACCAGTTATATTATATGTTCAGACACCTGGTTTATCGAAAGTGAAATTGATGATAGGCTCATAGAGAATTATGGATATGATGTGATATTGGTTCAAATAATACGAGCACATTTCTCGAATGTATTTAAAAGCAAAATCAGCAGTAAATGCTGTCCATTATTCTAAGACTTTGACTGAATTATGGTTTGTACTATCTGAAAAGTTTTCCAAATTCGTTATATAATAGATCAATCTACTCCAGAATAATATTTTCTTCTATGTTGCGAAATAAATAGTTGTAAACGTTACAATATTTTTAAGTTACCGTACAGGTTTAATTCCTCTTAGAGACCCTTATTCTGTACAGTCCTGCCTTTTTTATTTAACATTATTTGATAAGTAAGTGAGAAAAAAATGAATGTTTGAAAATTAGAAATATACAGAAAACTTATTCAGGTGGTGTGGAAATTTTGCTTTTATATATTGTCACGAGTAAATAAAATTTAGTAAATTTCTACGCCCAGAAAACTTACATGTTAAACTTCTTTCATATAAGGTTAAGTAAGGATCAGGCAACCGTGTCCTTACATGATAAGGGGAATATGGGGGGACTTTCTTATTTTTGATGTGACCTGATATAAATATATAACATAAGGATGTGTATAAATACAGAAATAATTTTTGGCATTATATACGAAAGCGTTACATCGAAGTTTAAATGTAAGTTTTTAAAACATAAATAACATCATAAAATGTATTTAAGAATAAAAGATATTGTTATTTAATAAATTTGAAATTTCATTTTTTTAATTAATGCATATTTTTTTCTTTTTTAGTGGATGTTGTTCCTAATGGTGATGTGCCTAACTTTGATAGCGTCGTTACTCATGCATTTATTTGTGGAAACACCTTTGAATTATCTTATTAATAAAATAATTGATTTTTTCTGTAAGAAGAAAAAAGTGGATAGAAAGGAAGAACGCAGAATTGATAATTTGCGTGAAAATCAAAACAACGACAGCAATGAAGTCTAAGAATATGAATTATCTTTATATGATTAATATGTTCAAGATATCCGAATATAATGAAACTGATTTGTAACAATATTGGCTAAATGTATTTTTTTATTCAATGTATTCAAATGTATTTACTAATATAGGTATAACTGTATTCAATTTAAATAAAATTGAAGTGATTTATAATAATATATTGCAGTATGTTGTANCATAATGCGGTTTGCGCGAAAATTTTCATACGTGCGTTAATCAAGCCGAATAGTTTGGCCGAATATTCGGTATTCGGCCTCAGGCCGAATATACTATTCGTTACAACACTACTATCTACACATACGCGTACAAAGTGAAATGCTACAAAAAGGGATTACTCAAAATTATTCTATATCGCGACAAGGAATATACGCTCGTCGATTAGTTGTCTAAGTTCTAGCTCTATAAAATATACTATCCTACGAAATTCAACTATCCTAAAGTAATCTATATCAAAGAGAGAGACAAGGAACGAAAGAGCGAGGATCAAATTTAGATCAAATACCTCTCGTGGTCCCGATCTCGCAGTATGGGCGTTGCTTACGAACTCTCCCCAGATCGGCTGAGGTCTGCATGGAGATGTCCGCTGTGGGATTTCCTGGGGGGGTCCTCTCGGGCCGTCTGCCGAAGGTGATCATCTGACGGGTCCTCTTCGGCTGTTCGCCCCAAGTGCGACCTCTTATTATTCCCGTTCAGAGGGGAGAAAAGTTCGGAGTACATTCTGGTGCAATCCCGTGTATGTTCGACTGGACAGGGAAAGTTTTGATTTTTGTCAATTAGTATAGCCATTTCGGTAGAATTATTACTTTTGGTATCCCGTCTTGTTATTTTTTCTAACTCATAAATTTGATAACAGTTGTCAAACTGACAGAATAAATTGTTGGAGGTGACTAAGGTTAGGATATGCATTGCAACCTTATTAATGATTGTTCGTTTGATGGGTTATTCGATCGTTTTTACCGTCGTTAAAATCGGTCAAAGTAATAAATGTGCGGATTGTGTTTTTCTCCCACCTCCGGAAGGGCCAAAAGGTCACTCCCCGAAGTGACAGAGAACCAGAAAAACAACGATGAGAAAATTTTATCGAAGCTGGAAAATTCACGCTAGAGCTCGAATTCTCACAGTAACTAATGTTGGTATAATGCTATTAAAGTTATGTACGATGTACTGTACGTAGTATATTCATTCTGGAAATGTTGTGTATAATCATTATTGATTTGAAACTATTATAATATTACCTTTCTATATTCTGAACAATTAAAGTAAATATTTTGTATAAAGCGACTAACTTAGTAGCACTACTGAATAACTTGTCAGGTGACTGCGTAATTTAAAAACACCAATTGTAATTGTGCGAAAACAAAAAATCCCATGAGACTTGCTTCAAATAAGATAGGAACCTACTGAATGTAAATTCGTCTTGAACTCGTAATGAATGTAACTTGGAAACGATTATTCCTATTATTTATCATCAATTTAGTTCTGTGTAATTTTTTTTTCGTTCTATTTTGAGTTGTATAATGCTTATAAATGCAAATGCAATGGAGCTAAAATAATTTGAAAATGAAAGGATAAGATTTTTATTTGGTGACCAATTTACATTAACACAGTTACTTTTAGGAATGTCAAGTACAAAGCTAAGTAAAGATTTAGGAATGAAACGCATTGAAACGAATGCAGCTTATACGATATTTTTCAAGTTCCACTACATTTGAAGACTTTTAAGTCCTTATTGAGAAAGAAATTTTAACTTCCAGAATGAGGCGTTGTTCAATTGCAAGTAGCTTGTTCACTGAAATACTAGAAGATACTAAAAATAAGTTCACTGAAGCCTGTTTTATTTTGCAGCTAAAAAATTGAGTCTTATATGAAAAATTAGTGTTGCAAGAAATAATGCAATACCCTATCGACATCGCAGCAATCTTAGAGAAAATTATGTAATGACGGTTATTCCTGATAGTAAAACATGTATGTTTCTCGAAAGAATATTTAAAACTTCTATTGAATTTTCAGTTTTAATCATGTCAAACATGAGTTACAGCTGTTTAGAGAGTAGCTACTGCCTACCTAATACTGGTTATCTATCTGTCTTTATCACAATGTCATAATTAGTTGCAACTAGTCTAATTCTGGTTTAAACTTATGATAATCCCACCATGAAAGATGGTGGGATTATCATAAGTGCTCATTATTAAGATGGTTAACTGCTTTTGAAAATCATGGGAAAATGATTCACCGCTCGCACTTCAAACTGTTAATTAAGGAAGGAAATTTCGCATGGGTGTTTAAGAGTTGGTTAATCGTTGTTGTCAGATGATAAGGGGAAAACAGCTGTAAAAAGTGATCGTCATCGAATATCTCTTTGTAGTAACCAGAATATTCGATAATGGGTGCTTCAAATGAACAAACTGAAAAGTTTGAACCCATTCAATGGTTAAAGGAATGCTTTCCCTCAAAGAAATGTTGCGAGTGAAAAAAATATTTTAGATATAAACGTTTTTGTGGGTAAATTCAATGGGAATACTCGAAGCAGAAGACGACGAAACGGGAAGCAACGTTAGAGCATGGGTTAGAGTAGACTTATATGATTTATATGATGCATTTGTTTAGTTTGAGCATTTCTTTCGTGTCATTCTTGTTTTTCATTGTAGAGAGATTCATTTTCAAAACATCCTGCCAAAAGATTTTCCTCAAAAATCTGTAAATGTGAATTGAAGCCGACCAGAAGCAACATTGTTCAGGTTTGAAAGTTATTTGTATTGCCGCATTTATTATTGGACAACAAACACGAAATATTCATCAAACTCAGGAGTCGCCAAACTTTTTTAACCGTCGACCCCCAATCACTTTCCAAAGCCTCACATTGACCCCCACCGTAAAGTTTTATTACAAGTGTATATGTATGAGCGAAAAAAAAAAACGTTGTGGGTTGTGGTCTCTGTCTAAGCAAAATAAAAAAAAAGGTTGTGACCCCCTAGCAGCATCGACCCTCCAATGATGTTGCATCGACCCCTGGGGGTCCATATCGACCACTTTGACGACCCCTGATCTAACTATACAACATGGTAGAGACACGTAAATAGACAATTTTGCATCATTGGTCAAAAATTGCCTCTAATAATAATAATTTCAAATACATAACGAACTTTAGATAATCGTTACTAGATGGCGATAGTTGTAAGATTTTGTGTTGGTGAGCGATTATTTTATCGATTGAAATCGATCGAGTAATCGATTGAAATCGTTTTCACAGAATTCAATTATAACTCTGTGATTTCTTAATTCTAATTAAGAAATGAAAACAATTATTTAATTAATTTAAATTTATGAGAAAAAAATATATTATTTAAATACAGAAGTTAATTGTATTGACTTAATGCATAAATTCTCGAAAAAATTAAATCAAATCTCACTTTTTTAAATACTTTCCGTGTTCAAAGAATTGTATAATTTTATTTAATTTTAATAATACTCTTTATTAATGTGATAAATTACACGAGATCACATATACAACTTTGTGCGCCTCCTGTCTGAATTTATGTCTCAAGAAATCCTTCGATTTTACGACTTAATTAACGTTTGTTCCAAGAACATTCACCAGAACTCCCCTTTTTCCCCGACATGTCGTACATTTTACAGCTTACTATATGAGGAATTTAAATTAAGTTTCCCTATAAGCATGTTTTGTTTAGTAATGTTTTTGAACGGTCTAATCTGTATATAACATAAACTGAATTTGTTTTATACAGGTACAAGAAGAATTGTATGTAACAAAACCTAACGTTAGGTGTTATTAGGTATTGTTAAATTGCTAAATATTTTATCTTTAACTTCAAGTTTCAGTCTCATACGTTAATAAATTTGATTTTTTCAATATACAGTAAAATCTGTTTAAAACGGAATGCCAGGCTATATTTCAGAATGTTTCGTTTTTGCATGTTTCCATTCGGATTTTTATTGATTCAGGAAAGAAGAGGTAATATAAACTGAGTAAAACCCAATGCACTTACGACAGATTTTTAAATTATGATTTAAAATTTAGCTGATAAAGAACTTGTACAATTGATATTCAAAAAGTCTTTTTCCGTCTTAGACAGGTGTAAGATTTATAATAGTATTTTAAATAAAAATATATATAATTTCAAAATTTATTAGTTTTTGTAAGCTGATTTTCACTTCGTATAACGTTCGTTTTAGACAGATTTTACTGTATCTACAGTAAATTATAATCACTTGTATGTTTTATTATTCGGCCGTTGTGTATTTTTCAGAGATTTTTTATATCTGTTCTACCGCTGTTTTCGTTTAAACCGGATTGAACCTCGTATTATTCGTGTGAAATTAATGAATATACCGACATGATATTTCGTTTTCACATCAGATATTTAATTACAAGTATGATTTTCTGATTGTTGCATTATTGTTGCAACTTACCACTTATTTCATACGAATTGACATATTATTTTTATTAAAGCAGAGAGAAAATTATATATTTTTTTACGCACACAAAGAACTCGTTCCATTATGCATTCAAAAATTATGCCTTTTATGGGACATCTCTAACTGAATTTACATATAAATGAGTACTACATTCTACTGGTGTTATACGTGTGTACTGTACATACGAATGCCACGTGTTAGAGGAAGGCCTAGCCTCCCTGTGCCCCTGATGTAAAAGTATTTTTGAAACATTTTTAGACTTAATAAATCGCAATTAAACAATTTAAAGTGTTATTAATTGATAGTAATTATATTTTAATTGTGTTTTACTTAAATACAATGATTTATTACATTTTACACAGTTTTTGATTTTCGTATTCATTTAACAATAAATAATAAAATAGAGGAAAACAAAAAAAAAATAATAGAAAAACGTGTTTCCTGCAGGAAAAACATCGTATGAATGATACAGGAAGTAAATTGTGAAGATGAAGACGAATGATGTGAATTAAGTGAGATTTGTCTTTCAAGGGTGAAAGGATATTTGTGTAACATTTTCTGTGAATGCCAGAAATGAATTAAACTTTACTAAACATTGTTGAAGTGTTATTATTTCTGCT